CCAGCTCCAGCTCCAGCTCCAGCTCCAAAGCCTGCCAATTTGAGCAGCACAGCGAACATGACAATCACAAAGACGGCAGCCATGTCAGCGCGTGGAGAGCCTCAAATTCCGTCGAGCAGTCGATCGATTGACCACAGCAGCTCGGTCAATGGTCTGCCTGCTCCGAAGCGGGTCGTGCCACCTCGAGCGAGCATTGGAAAGACTGCACCATCGGCAGGTGCTGCACATGCCACGAATGGAGGCGTCAGCGCTGCGAGCATTGCTATTGGTGCGACAGATTTGAGCCCTGGAAGAGGAGTTAGAAATCAGGGACTGGCGAGCAGCGTGAGAGCTGGAACACCGTTGTGTGCTAGATGCAGCAAAGCAGTATGTGAGTTGAGTTTCAGCTGCAGATGCCACGGCTTTAGAGACTGTGCATCGTCAGCTCATGAAATTCAGGTCGCGATTTCGACGCGCGCCACATGCCCCGCTCTACGTTTGATAGACTTTGCCGAGCAGCTCACTGCGGCTGGAAGGCTGTGGCATAGGGCGTGCTTGCGCTGCGATGGTTGCCGAACGACGCTCGAGCCGTCCAAGCTGGAAGAGGGTCCAATCGGAGCAGAAGAATATGCGGCAGAGGGCGAAAGGGGCTGCAACGTGTGGTGCAGGACTTGCTACAAGAAATTGTTTGGGCCCAAAGGTGAGGGGGAGGTCCTGTTACGCTCGTCGTGCGAGCATATGCAGCGTCTTGCGATTGATAAGACAAGGCTGACGTAGTTGCTCTCCTTTACACCCGTGCTAGGCATAGGCGTGGCGGGAATGTCTTTGCCTGAAGCTCACATTTCGCCCCGTCGATAGGTTGTCTGCGATATGGTGCCTCATTACTTTCTCTTATCTCTCCTCGTTCAGATCACTGATCCCCGGACCGACATGACGTACCTTCGGATTGCGTTGCGAAATGATGATTGTCACGCACACTTCCACTACTATACCATGCTGTGTACCACACCCGCAGATACGCGCGCTTCTAGACGAAAATGACGACGACGATGGGTGGTCTTTTGCTCTCCCTCCCGCTGCTTCCTTGCTCATCATGTTACCAGTCGACGCTCAGCTGAATTTCAGGCCAATGAACGAAGACGGTTCATTGCAGATGCGAACACGTCGTGTGATTGTCACCCAATGATGAGTGCGACAGGGGTGCTTTGGCAAGTCGGTCATGAAGTGCAATTGGACTCTGCCTCTGGACAGGCCGTTCACGCGACATAATGGCCGTACTGGAGTATCATGGCTGTCAACGAAGAAGCTGGCGGGGTAGAAGAATGCAGAGGCCAAAGCAGAGTGAAGCCGTGTTGCGCGTCAGCAACGAGGAGGCAGGATGAGCTCAGGCATGGGACTTACAGGCGACGATTAGCGGCACAACGATTCCGGGCAACTTGCTCATCTTGGTCGTCTTGTACACGATGGCTTCGCTAGAAAAGTGCAGGATAGCGATGACGAAGGTGAGGGCGCAGAGGTGATAGACTCTGTGGAACGGGGGGCCCAGGTGACGCATGAGCCAGACGCACGAAGAATGGATGGCCAGTAGCTAGCATCAGATCGAGCATTGTGACTATCGCCTGCCTTGATGAGGCTGAGACAAGACGACTCACTCTCGGTTGTGGATATGGTAAGCTGCGTACGTTCGAACAGTGGCGCTGCCCAGATTCCAAATGGCGAAACAACGAGCTTGTAAAGCCGTGCCCTGCGCGCCTGAAGTGTTGTACACTTGACGAGCAAAGCTCGGATTGAGAAAGTTCTGCACACCGTTGATGAAGGCCATGGACGCTACTAGCAGTAGCCATTTGGGAAGGAGACCATCGCCCGGAGGAATCACTGTTTGCAGTGCCGGAAGATCAACAGTTTAGGAAAAGGTTAGCAGGTTTGAACAAGCTCCTTACGACTGCGACACGGTATCGCTTAGCAAGAACTTACAGCTTGCAACGTCGAACGACATGCTGTTCACAGTGATCCACAAAGTAATGTCAGAACTTGTCCATCAATCTCAAGCTTGATTTTCGCACGTATCGAAAGTGGATGGTTGAGAATGTCGAACAACAATCAAAGAGATCCGATTAGGTTGGGCTGCGCTGCGCTGCGTTGCGTTGCGTTGCGTTGCGTAGCGATGTGCTTGCTGCACGCTGCGATGTCTGCAGGAAGCATTCGTTGCACGCCTGGACAGATGCTTCAAAGTCAAGGATCTGCTCCAATCCACTCGGAAATCAAAGTCTGAATCTTGAATTGGTCAACAGCAAATCACTTAGGAAGAATGTGCGCTCAAGAGTCTGAGGGTGGCTAGCAGCTTCAACACGAGCCTGGAGTCAAGAGTATAGAGAAATCGAAGCTCTGATCAACCATTTGAATGCAGATTTACAAGGAGGCTCGAGCACCTGCTATCAAAAAGTTTGAGTGATGAAGAACGAATGAAAATGAATACTTGCGCGGGTGAGGTCGAGACTTGAAATCTTGAGTCAGCCCTTGCTCATATCCAAGATTACTCTCTTCGTTCCGATTTTTGATTGAATATCTGCGCATGGGTCTCATTGAAAATGGGAACGTGTACTTTGTATATAGCGCACGCAATCTTGTAATTAATCTAGATGCGCAACCAAAGTCTTTTGAATCTGCAGTCTCCGAATGGAAATTAGAACGAAAGTCAAGGGTCCTTTATCAAAGGCCGCCTGCGAGAGTTTATGCACACACTTTTGCTTTTGATAATAAACAAACCAAGAATAAGAACAACAAGAGTAATCACTTAGCCATCGACCGTCGTGATCGAGTAGCTTTTTGTCGCCGCGCGCGTGGCTATGTGCACATACTTTTGATATACAAGCACAGACGATAGATACCGGTACGGCCGGTATGTGCGGTGTTGGGTGTGCGATGCGTGATGGATGGCTGCACATGAGGCTGT